TATAGTTTAAGCACTATAAGACTGCCATCCATGGTCGAGTCAACAAATAATTAATAGACCATGCAACTTTGCTATAATTGAGGTTCTTTCAGGGAAGTAATTAGTAGTAGTTGACACGAGAATTTGTAACAGCTAGCACGAGAATTTGTAATGGACGTGGGAACCACACAAATTGCTACTGGATTTATTTAGCTGGCATGAGGATAATCATCCATAAGCGTCTAAGAAATTAGGGATTAGCATCCATTGAATGAGGAATATTTATGTGTGTCTCATGCATGTTTGGTTCCGTAAGAGGATAAGTTTAACGAGATATTTCTTGTGTGACAGCCAATTAGACACTTGATACGAATTTATACTAGGTAGTGTTCTAAGACGGTACAGAGCATAGAGAATGTTGGAAGCATGGTAAGACCATGAGATGGGTTATTCTTTACTTTTTTATTATTTCTGAAAGGACAATTTTACAAACCTCCCTTGAAGTTCTTGACAATTGCAGATACTACCTCTTAAATTTGAGAAATTACACGTACCTTCCTTAAGAACTCATCGATCACCACCGTCACTCCTTCTTTCTACCTTGGCTTCCAATTAACCTTTAAATCTCTTATCCTCTAATTTCTATAAAAATATCTCGAGAACTAGACACTACCATCATCTCGTTGTTTTCCAATTAACCTTCTTGATTATGTAATTTCCCGCCCAAAATGTCACCAAAGACCTTCTCCCGTGCCTTTACGCCGTGCGTGAAAATTTCATCCAAAAGGATCTTTTTTAAGGAAGATGTGTGATGATGATGGTAGAGAATGGGGAATAATGCGACTTCTGGAGGAGAGTGTGACTGTGGAATTATTTGGCTTGTCGAATAGGTGGCAGGATCGAGAAGGGATTTGAAGTAATTTGTGTAAAATTGTCTTCTTATTTTTCCTTTTTTTTTTTGGTTACTATTTTGTAATTTTTTTGGGGAGATCACTACTATTTTATAATTTCAATTTACAGTCCATTACTTGTCCTAGCAGAGCAATGTTCGCTACTAAAATAAAGGTTAGTCTTGTCATTTTGCAGCATGAGAGGAGGTAAAGGTATAATTTTCTAAACCTGAAGTGAATTGCATATGATTATTATAAATCTTAGGGGAGTTTCACGAAATTATACCTGTAAGAAACAACCGTGGTCTCAGACTATGTGACTATCAAGAATTTGGCTCTTTGAGCCTTTGAAACGTACACTAAGGTTCCTTCTCGATGAATCCCAAACAACTTTATTTCTTATCTTCCATCACTTGAGAAAATTCTAGGTGCATTGAACAAAATTGTTTGGATGTTCATTTTGTTTAAACTGATTTTACGCAACTGTGTGAGTAAGCTAGTTGCTCCAATGGAGTTTGGTGATGTAAGCAATTGTTGGTGTCGGTCGCCAATAAGATTTCTCAGCGTCCACTAGTGGCCGCAGCAGCCGCAGTTAATGGGATTTCCAACGTGGAATCAAAAGCAGCGGCTCCATAGGGAAACAAAAGAGCCTGCAATGAGAAAAACGAGTATTATCTGATTCTATATATATAATAACTAGTTCGATAGTAGACTGGACTTTTTTTTTCGATTTTTTTACCATATAAACCCATTTATATATAAATCTAGATTCAGCAAAAATTTCTTAAAAGAACTTCAAAAATTACTTTTTTACAAATGATAAAAAGTGAAGTTCATAGTTATCGGAATCCATGGAGCATGTTGTAACATTTGTGCCACCTTCAAAATATAAATAAATCTTATATACACTGACAGTGTATACACTATCACCGTTGGATTCATGACATATACGTGCAAAAGTTGAAATTCAAATTTTACATAATTGTCATTAATTCAACGCTTTACAGTGTATAGGATGATTAATTCTCAAAATATAAAGGAGTTGAAGAGTGAAAACTCCGAAAATACATAAAACCAAACACAAGAAGTTTGTTTTGACAAGAGTTTATTTGAGATAATTACTGTAGCACTTTTTGTGATGTGATGTATGCGAGATAAAAAAGTGATTGGAATTTGTGACGCAAATTATTATTATTTTTTTCAAATTATCTCTATCCAATCACCTAGTGTTACACAAGCTTGCTGAATAATTCAGCAAAATGAAGTTAGGTTTCTAGCCTAGCAATAAAAAAAATCTTTTTGCAGCATAAATCTGCCTCTAAATTTATACTACGTGATCGAAATGCAAGTGAAGGCGCAAACAACCTTGAGAACTCCAACCTTCTTGTTTTATTAGTCCGGTAACTGAAGTTAGGCTTCTTTTCGTCAAAGAATAGTAGCCTAGATTTTGTTATGTTGGAAGGGGCTGACATTCTTGTCTATTTCACATGCTTCCTGGAGAGTGGAATTCTTCGTAAGAAATTACACGGGGCCGTCCTTTCAGATTCCAGCTTAGTTGGGCACTTGGGCCTATGATTTAGGTTACTATTTCAAAAGAATAGGATTTGACCTCTCTATTTCGTTGAAAATTAATATTAATTATTGTGGAAGTTTGTCAGCATTGATTTCTTACACTCATAGACAAGGTACGTACGTATTTGAATACATGATGATGGCGATGGGCATCCTCAATTTTCTATTCGCAGTATAGAATTAAACAAAGGATATTATCTGCTGGTGAAGATTAATACTATTAGGGACTTAATTGAAAAATCTGTGAGTTATAGGGGTAAATCCCACTAATTCAATAAGGTCCGTCCAACGACGATCGAAACAGTCTGCTCGTCACCCCTCCGACATGGAACGACGCCATTGCTGACGTCTTAGACCCATAGCTGCATGTCTGATCAGATTGTCTTCCTAGATTGAGCATTTGCAAGAGCTGGTGTCATCTTTCTTCTGGACACATCTGATGGTAACATCGATCATTGCATATTAAAGCCAGGTAAAATTGCCGTTTGTAATGCTGCTAGTGAGTAAGCTTCAGTACTGCCATACATCATGAGCTTTTTATTTGCTTCCTGCAGTATTTCTCGAGGTGGGCTCTCCTTAAATTTTAGTCTTCATTCTTATCTGTACTTCTTTTTCTCGGGAGCATCCCTTGAGGGCTCTCCTATTGAAACATTCTGTAACTATGGCCATAGAAATGTTAGGGAACCGTCGTAAAAAACATTCGCAGATTTTGCAGTTGTAAGCATGGTTCGAAGTCTCGGCCGAAACCGAGACGACTTGGCCGAGACGGTGCACCGATATGATACCGTGACGAAAAGATACCGAGATACTTGATTCGTCAGGAAATCGGCCGAGACGTCACCGCTACGGATTGACTCGGCCGAGTCACATCGAGTCACTCCAAGTTATTCCGAGTCAAGACGAGAAATCAGTGAAGTTACACCGTGACGGATTGACTCGACCATTTCTTTTGCTATTTTTTATTATTTTTGTTTAGCATACTATTTTTATATTATTAATAATTTTTAGAATATTATATACTTTAAAATTTGCGTCTCACCGAAACCGCGACCGATATGCCGAAACCGATGTGGAACGTTTCGGGCCGCGACCTTAACCGCGACCGCGACTTGAACCATGGTTGTAAGCGAAGATTAAGCTAGTTATGCATTATAGCTAGGTTAACTAACTAAAAATCAAAAGCATTTTCTATTTTTATAGTGCATTAGTATTTAGCACTAACAGCTGATGCAACTATAGCAGTATTTGATGGAGTGTCCAGCTTGTTTAATTTTTATTCCAAATCTTTTTAGTTGGAGCCTATTATTGTTGTTATAACTTTAAGAAACGTTGCGGTTATCACGTTGCTTAATGGGGGGGCCACAAGCATTTGGTATTCTGGTTGGTGTATTTGTATTTTGTGTATTGCTCTCCTGTTTCACCTCACCGTTTCATTGATCAGAAGCTTTTCAATGACTCAATGATTTCCCCAAAAGAATGTTTTCACACTTCATGCTATCGAGCTCTGTTAAACGAAGACTTTGACGTCATGCACCTCTACTACTCACTGTTTCATTGATCAGAAGTGTTTCATTGGCTCTACGATTTCCCCAGTGGAATTTTTTCACACTTCTTGCTATTGAGCTCTGTTAAATGAAGACTTTGATGTCATGTACCCCTATGCTGCTGGAAAGTTGCCAGCAGCTGCCAAAAATGGTTTTGTTAACACGTCAATAAATCACATCATGAAGCTTGATAATGTACACAAGTAGGAAATTTCACAGTTTTGTGACTTTAATCTGTGGTTTCGAGTAAGTTGAACATTTGAATGTTTCCATATCCCCAAGAATCAGGATATCTCCTCCTCCATGTGACAAACAGTGATTGGAAATTGGAAATAGACTATCCAACAAATAAGTTAAAGGTGATGTGTATTGCAAAATTACAAACTGGATGCATCACGATTGTTGGCATCGTACTCAATTATTGGGAAAACTTTTTCAGTCCAGTGCATAGCAAGAAGTTCATCTTATAACTCAAACAAGTCCGAGTCTTTTGTTTTGCAGCCTTGGTTGAAGAAGATGGTGATGATAGTTACATATTGGAAAACAGTAGTGCCTTCCGAGATTGATTTATTCTGTGGTAAGAGATGACAAACTGCATTTTAAAAAACATCAATAGGTAATTGAGTGGTGAAACGCACAGAGGAAAGAGGCTTTCGGAGAGAAATGTGGGAAAAAAACGTATGGCAGTTTTTAGATTGAACAGCTGCTCTGTCATGGTGCATGAAGTTTGATATCAATTTTAGAATCTAGAGTTGAAAGTGATTCACTGCAATGCGGCCATCTAAGTTTGTTGAAAGCTGAAAGATGACATGCGTAAATTAGAAATAAAAGAAGAACTTTTTCACATGTTTCCCCACATATAGGGCTTGTTTTGCTATGACAAGAACGCTCTTACCTACTTGGGAAATCTTATTGGTTTTGTGTGTTTGTATTTGTTTGTAGCTATGTTGGTGATAAACGAGAATTTGTTTGTTGATTTTTCTTTGTCTACTAAAAGGAATCGTGTAATATCTGCTTTTCAAATCCACAAGAATCAATCAAATCTTTGTATTGAAATTCGGAAGCGATTTCTCAGTTTGAAATATCTAAGAACATAATTTGTCACTTCTGCAAGCAATCAAGAAATAGTGATTCCACACCGGTTGACTATGCAAAGACAATGTACTAACATCTTGATCTCCTAGAGCCATTACCAATTGACCGTAAATTTTGACTGTTCTTCGCCTACTGATGAAGACAATTCTGCTGGCTGATGCTTCCGTCATCCTCTTACACCCTTGAATATTGCTAATTTTCTTTTGATCTCTAAATCTAAACAGCAAATTCAGATAAATGCTTCTAGGAGATAGATGCATTGGACCTCCGTCCAGATTTTTGGGTTGCAAAATCTTTCCCTTACGAAAATCTGCTGCATTGCTATTTTGCCACTACTAATCAAGAAAAAAAAAACCATGATTTCAATCAAGAGCGGTTGTGAATGGGATCTGATCCTCTTCCAACTTGTCTTTTGCTTGATTGAAATGGATCAGTTTTCTTGTTTACAGGTGCTGTTCTCTTTTCAGCTTTTAACCCGTTTGTGACTACTTCCTTGAGCATCCGCTGATCCTTCTGCATGATCGGATGATCTTCTCTGCTCCATCTCAATTCGATGTCTATACTTCTCAAACCAAAAACATATTCCGGATGAGCTGCTAATAATCCTAGATAGATGAGGACTACAAAAGTCCTCCGCATGCTAATGGCCATGTTTCTGTGTTAATTGGTAAGGAAGAGTAAGCCTTTCCTTCTTTTAGAGTGGCAAGAGACTGAGCAGTGATGATGCTGCAGCCCTTCTCTTCTTGCATTCCATCCCTGTAGACACAAGCTCATGATGTATTTATAATTGGGATTTGGAGGGCCATATAAAGCAAGTCTGGTGGGCCTGGAATCATATTTGGGAGTTTAAGATTCACCCCAATCATAAATCTCAGCAATCTAAGCAAAACTAAGGCTGTTGAAAAAGAATCTGACTAGGATGAATAAAGGTCTTTGAACAACACCTCTGAGAAGCTAAGCATCTTTTACGTTTGTTGCCTTGCTTGTTTAAGTGAATGCTCTGCTTTTGTCTAGTAAACAAAGACCAAGCCAGTCACTTTGAATCCCAGCCAAATTGCCACATCTTCCAGACATGTAAATGTGCCGGGGGAAATGCTGTTGCATGCCATCAATTTTTAAATGATCCGATGCAAAGGGTCTTATGGTAAATCAGCTTTACTTAGTTACTAAGAAACACACTAGCAAATATAGCAAGAGCCTGAGCAGCTAATACTATAATATTGGTCCAGGGGCAGGCAGTCATAAAAGCAAAATGAGATGGAAAAGGATAAGGGAATAGAACATCCCCGTTCCTAGAAAAACCGAACATCTGCTTTATGCCATTTGGAGATCTCACTTTAGAATCCCAAGCTCTCTTCTCCATGCAAACTAAAATAGCAGTCCTGGTTTCTTGTGCTAAATGTGTTTCTTTATGCTTTTATTTGTTCTTTTTTCTTCTTCTTCTTTTAAAGATTTTTGGTTACCAATACTATTTCAAGCCCCCAATTCAATGTTTCAAACAAGCCCCACTCCAGTCTTCAAGTGTCTCTTTCTCTTTCTCTTAGAATTTGGCATTATCTTTTGAATTATCTTCTAACAAGGCCGAGGGTACACTACTATCTTTTGAATTATATATGCAGTAGACATGCTTGTAGGAACATTCTAAAGCAGAAATTCTGATGCTTTACCGAACTTGCATAATGAGATCTTGAAGGTGCCTTAAGTGCAGCGATTAAGTAGTGGTCCAATCAGTAGTCCAGCTTCATCTATTTTATCCTTTTCTTTTCTTCTAGTAGAATGAGAGATTCTTTGCCTTTATGTACTAAAATGAAAGTGAAAGAATAGTTGAGTTGTTTCTGTCAAGTTCTCGCTTTATATCTACTTAAACAGCAGTCCATCAGATTGTAAGAGATCAACAAATGTTAGTCAAATAAGCAATTTCCTACCTCAAATTAACCCCCTCCCCCACAAACAAAAAAAGAAAAAAAAGCATCCAAACAAGCAAAAGACAGGTTTAACTATTTTTTTAAAGTACATATTATAGTTTAATATAGTAATATCGTCCTACAAGGAAGAGGAAGGTGACAGTTGTTAACCGCTAAGCTGATGCTTCCTCTTAGAGAAAGAAAAGGCTCGAGGATGTGTACTGACTAATATAGAGAGTTACCGTTTCTATTTAATCCAAGAGCAAGAATAGTCAGAATCACTACGAAGACAAGATGGTGGGGAGAAAAACCAAATGGTCAGGTAAAAACCAAATGTGGTTCAAGTGGTCGAGAGGCCTCCCATGATCTTACCTCTTTAGAGCCAGATTGTTGCCAGTTTGTTTTGGAAAGAAACAGAAACGCGAAACAATATATATATATATATATATATATATGTATAAATCCCTTCCTAGATTCTTGTATGAACTCAAGCTCAACACTCAGCTCTGGGACTCCTAAGCCCAAGTTTTAATGTGGTAATAAATCGTTTAGAGACGGGGAAAAGAAGTCCTTTAGCTGGATAATTGATTATAACGACCTCATCTTAGATTGATTTTCGTTTCTTGATGAGAAAATCTAAGCAATATCTGGTGGGCCTGTTTTACTTTGCTTCTGGTACGGGTACCGTACAATTTTTTAATCAGGGCTCTTGATGTACTTGTAAGATTCTACCGCCTTGCAAAGCTGACTGCTACATTAGAATCTTCAGTCTCAAATCTCAAGGAGTTTTATCTCATTCTCATCCCATCAGCTTTAGGAAGAGCTCCGATATTGAAAGAAATTTCTCATCTTGTATGGTAAGTAGGAGTTGGTAAAGGTTATTCTCCAGGTTTACTGATTTTTAGTCGTAAAGGTGTAAGCTATCAACAACTTTAGCTCTGGCATATGGGCTCCATGTGGGTCTAAATTTGTCCTGTGTGAAATTCTTGAGTCTGGGAAAGTACGCATATTCTTCTGGGCAGGGCTGGAGATCCAAAAGATGACAATCAAAGATCAGCTCAGCAGACTGCGTTTGTTTGGGCACTTAAAAAAGATTATTGTCCTGTGTTCTCAGAAGTAGTAGTAATTTGTTGCGATCTTTTCAATATGCCATAACGCCATTAGGTCCATTACCTACCTAATAAATGATGGACAACACGCGATTGCTCAGTGCTTGGTAAGCCTACATGAAGATAGTCTAATTTTTGACCATTTGATTGGAGGGCCTGTAAATCAATTGCTATGCCCAAAAGTTTTTCACTTTGAATGAAGGGGAGGGGGGAGGGGTTCAACGTTTTTCCCTTTTGTGGTGCTGAAAATTTGCAGGAATGGGTATCTGAGATGGACCCTCCGGTTTAATTGGAAATCACTACTGCAACCAACATTGGAAAGACGAAGTGGGACGCTGCAAAGAGAATGTTGAAATGTTACCAGAATACCAAAAGATTAAAGCCAGATGCTCTCCCAACTTTAGACAAGGATTATTCAACTCAAAATTGGCTACTAACAAATTAGTAGTGTTCCAAGTCATTTGTAGGCAATCGTGGAGCACACGACAAGCTTTTCTTTTCAACGGCATTTAGATTTCGTTGGGATTGCCGCCGCGCGCTTTTGAGTTTTGTGGACTTGTATTTGACCAAAAAGTATTTAACTTTGGATTCCCGCGGCTTAAAATATAGTACTCCCTCCGTCCCGTTTTATTAGTCTTGGTTTTTTTTTCACACAGATTAAGAAAATGTAATTAATTTGGTTGGAAACATAAATTTAGATTAATAATTTCCTAAAATACCCTTATGCTAATCACGAAGAGTGCATTGGAAAACCTCAATGTATTCAATGTAGTGAGTTAGTATTTAATAACAATGTATTAATAACAAGATATTTAATAAGGGTATTTTAGACAATTTGAAAGATTACTACATTCCTTAATGGGGAAGTGGACTACAATTTGGGACGGATGAAAAAGGAAAACAAGACTATAAAAGTGGGACGGAGGGAGTAATAGGTTAATGCAATACGACCGAGAACTGATGGCGGGTGGGAGACCATTACAGAAAATGTGGTTTTCATTTTACTTTGGGAGAGCAAAGAAATTTTGATGAATGAATCTTTCTTTCTTTCTTTCTTTACTAGTTGTTAAAGAGGTTTTTTTTTTTTTTTTTTTAACTCTTACAAAATTCTTCGTTCGTTCTTCAGCACAACTTGGAATTTCTATGAGCTAATCCACGCTTTTCTCATGTCGCCACGAACGCTTTGATCTAGCCTTTCACACGGCCGAGCGAACACAGAACCCTCCTGGAATTCTCGATTGCCAAAAAAAAAAAAAAACGTGGTTATGCCAAAAGATTACATCACTTAAGCCGGGGAACTGGAGACAGAAAAAGGCAGGCAAAGTGTCGTATTAGTACAGCCCTCAAATTAGGGGCCACAGCAGAGTGCTCATGACATAGGAGCATTTGATATCCAAACCATGCAAAAGACTTGATAGTGTAACATAGGAACCCTCAGAAAAACAAAAAGAAAATGAAGTAACATAGGAATAGGTAATCGGAAGGTTGAGGCTCAGCAAACAAACGGCCATGGCCCATGTCAACCGAATTTCCCTAACCAGCTCAAATACAGAAGCATCATTACTATATACACAGGACCGAAGGAGATATTTAAGAGACAAAGAAGGCATATTTTCAAAATCAACGAGAGAGATTGGCCCTTCATATGATGCCGCACAAAAGATGCTCAGTGAAATGAGGATTGCAGGAGATTTCAAACATGCTCCTGTTGTGGAGTCAATGCTGTTGCAGGTGTAGGTAGAGGTGCAGTGGATGCAATCGCAAAGTGCAGACCCCTGCTTTGCCCAGATTGTACCACAAATGCAAACTGTGTCGCAGCCAATGCCGCAGCCTCCTGTTCCAGCGAAGAACATCACTTCCATAAGCATCAACTATCCCCAGATTTGGTACTGGCGAACTCAAATTGCAAACATTTGTTATCAAAATGTTCAAGAGCCTAAATCCGTGTCCTTGAAAGGGTGCGATGTATACGATGAAAGAATGCAATTCTAAGGAAATATATCTAGAAAAGTCAATCGCCCTCAAACATCAGAAACAAAAGAGACACTCACCTGTCTCTGTCTTCTCCGCTGCAAAATACTAATCGCCCAGACCATGATGTAGCAGGGTAAAAGGAAGCCAGCAGCACGAAGTAAGAAAAGCTGCACATCATCCATTAATTAGACTAAAGAAAAGGCAAACATCTGGCAACCACAATGGATTCTTATTTTTCTTGCAAATTTACAGTCCAAATCCAACTTACAGAGAAGAATGCAGAAGGGTCATCATCTCCATCACCATCAGTAACAGTCAATGCATGCCGCAATAACAGAAGAGCCATTAACTGCCAATGAAATTGTGAAAAATAGATGAATTGCAATATTTTGGATATCTAACAACAAATATATGGAGAAGAAGCATGAAGAAAGAGTACAAAAGCTCATATAAACATTCCACATGCACACATAAGTGCAAGTGGAAGAACAGCAGAAGAAATGAAATTCCTGCCTTTCATTTGCAGCTCAGTAGATTTCAGAATTAACTAAAATTTGACTGCACACAAGGGCAAATAATATGTAGGTCTAGAAGTGTCTCCCAATATACAAATACTCGAGTAACCAAAGCTGAAGAAGAAAAATTTCCTTGACAGTGAAAAGACTTAAAACTAACTGCCCAAACACAACCAAAGAAAAAATGGCGACTTTCATTTTCATGAAAATATTTGGTTCCTAAATCAGTAGTCAAAAGCAAAGGACTAATAAGAGTATAGGATAAGAGTTTTTTAGGAAATTTTATGATCAATTACTGGGAGAGGGCTAAAAGAATGATTGCTGTGTAAACCTAATTCTCCTAATTAGATGACAAGATAACCAACAGGATTTCCAATTGCAGAATTAGCCCTAGAATAGAACTTATAATGGAAAAGAATGTGTTGGTAAATGCTTACAATTAGAGCAGCTGAACGGCAGAATGCAGCACCACTTGCATTTGTAGAACTGTAATCATCATATTCAGCTTCCAGAAGCTGACGCTCAGCCTCTGCAATTGCCAAAAGGCGAGGATCATGCAAATCCAAAGGTGCCCCAGAAAGCTGCCAGCCTCCCCTGGAGTGTAGATTTTTCATCACTTCATCACAATTGTGATTATTATGAAGGTGTAACACCAGTGAAAGGTTTATTGCAAGAGGGCCTTCAGTAAAAGTTTGCTTTTTCCTTTTGTTTTTTTTCCCTCCCCAGTGCTTAACAGAATAGAATCCACAAAACTTTTGAAGCTTACCCAATATCTATTGTAGTCTCTTCAGGATTAGGTCGAGAAGCAGTATAACCAGGTTGGTAAGGCTGCATGTCAAACATAAAAAATGTTGCATCATACAAATGAAAGTCTGCGTTAAAAGAACTAGGACTATGATACTTGAAACGAATGATATTATCTGTGATTACACAATCTTCACAATGCTAGTTATACGAGCCTTAAAATAACTTCATCGGAAACAGACATGTCATTTCTACACCTCCAGACAATAGAACTAAATAGTGTCCTGGTACATTTCCAGTTGGATGTTATAAAAAGCAATCAATCCTGTATAACAGATATTGTAACCAAATAACTAATCTTTTCGGTCCATACTCTTTTGGAGTCCTTGGGTATGGTCTATTAGGTTCTATTATCATCATAGAACAGAAAACAGACTGCACGCGTATACACACAAACATATCTCAGTTTGTTCCTTCCAGGGAACAATGTACAGTCATGAAACCTCAGCATTATCTGGTGTGCAAAGTAATTGCGCATGCATCAAAGTCCATTTACTAAACTCTTCATTTTGCACTAGAGCAGCCATGTCCACGGGACTCCCATACCCAAGTCCAAGTACCACATATCAAAATGGATGTTCCATTAGCTCAGGGCCTAACTCCAGTTCAAAGTCGCAACACTTCATTGTCTTGCATTCTTCAGAAATACAAGAAGTTTGCCATTTGAAACAACCATTCCAGTCTATGTGATTACAAATTACATATATCGTAAAAATTTAATCTATTGGGAAGTGATAGAGAATTACAGTCCAAAGCAATGTTAATTTACAACTTTAAATTTTGTTTGCTTTACAGAACAAATTGATATTAGTGAACTCTACCAAATGGAAAAAATATCAGACAAAGTGTACCTGATGGCAGATCTCACAAATGATGTCCCCTTTCTCATTGCACCAGTGTTGAACACATTTTCTATGAGCATACTGCACCAAAATAATACCATATGAATGCACTTAAAGTGGACTGTATCAGGTAAGCGGGAGAAGGGTGCTGCCGTAACACATGAAAAGGGTAATCACATGAAAAAGAAAGCTCAAAAAGGCTTCCAAATAGTACATTGCAGACACAAGAAAACAACTTCGCAGGCACATCTAGATAACTTTAGGATGAAAAAGTTAAAGAATGGAAGGTCATACAACAGTGGGTAGATACCACTACAGCCAAAAGCAGAAAAAAGCTCCACAAGCTAACATTGCATCCACAGAAGGACGACTAACGTAGTAGCACAAAAATATCAACCCTACTACCTTCAGATATTTTGACTTGTTTTGTTTCTTTTCAATTAATGCAAGAAATGTTGCAGAACCCAGTCAATGCATCTTAAATATGGTAGAGAAATCACCAAAACTAGCTTCTTATACTAAAGCGGACCGCTACCGAAGTAGCACCAAAGCAACAGTCAGGTCAAATTATGTAATACAGATGCTTCAGTTTTAGCTTCGCACATAACCTACCAAAGATTTCCACTCCTAGCAAATTTATTCAACATTTTCCATATTTTGCCCTTTGAAATCCTGACTCGCCCTTATCTTTGAAAAAGTTTTTCTTCACCATTTCTCCAAGCAACATGCAACATGCAACATGCCATTTCCCCAAAAAGTGTTGCCAAGATAACAATTTCCGTGTCACAGGCATGTGTAATAAGTAATAACCCAAAAGGCTCAAAAACAAACCTTGGTTATGAACAAGCTTTTTTCCACTTAACAGCTCAACAAGAACAAAATGGATGGCATATATCAATGTAAAATTCTAAAAAAAAAAAAAGAAAAAGTGATGCCAATCCAAAAAGGTTTCTCAAAATTTACACCTTAAGACTACCGCTGCAAGCACAGGGAGTTTCCAAATTGGTCAATGAATCCTCCTCCTGACAAATGCGGCACTCAGCCGTCGCTATAAGCGGCGCTTCCTCATTCTCATTCTCCCCCACCATTACCACCACCTCCTCCTCCTCCGGCCGCGGCGCCAATGAAGTAGAAGGCCCCACCATTTCGCGCTGCTGCTTCTCATCCACGATACCATATGGGTTAATCTCCTGAACCGGCTTCACAAACCGGTCTGCATGTACCGCCAAAATTTCACTCATTTTACAACCCTCAACCACCAAAAACCCACAATGTCAACAACAACAATTCCTGTACAAAAATCAACGGATATATCTTTCAAAGATTGGCATTAGAAAAAAAAAAAAAAAAAGAGGAAACAACCATATAAAAACTATACAAAAATCAACAATTTTCTTGATAAGGACTATAAATTTTGTTTTCTAGATAGAAAAACAACCCATTTATATATTTTTAAGAAATTTTCTCTGATCACGCTGGTTACAGATAGCGAGATCAGATATTTTTACTGGGGTCAGTTTTGAAGAAATAGAAAGTAAAAATGAAAGAAAGAAATGTACCTGGTTGAATGGAACCGAAGATTACGGAAAATGCGAATGGCAATCTAAAGAAATGCTAATAAGGGAATCGCGTTTTTGGTGCCCAGCCAAGAAAATGGTACTAAAGAAGAAAAATGAAGTCAAGAGCTAGAGGAAAGAAGAAGAGGAAGAGGAAAAGGATAACTTTTTAGCTGTCTTGACGCGTTTTTATTTGGGGGGTTTCTGGATTACATCTTCTTGGCTGTCTTCCACGAATTTGCTCAAAATGGTGGAAAAAAAAGATGTCATATCTGGTTTATTTCAAAGAAATTATTTTGTTATTCCGTCAGAATCCTAGTAGTGCTTTTCAAAGTTAATGGTGCTGTCCAGCTAATATTGGAAAATTCCCTTTTTCTTCTCTCAAAAACAAAGAAAAAACCCATTGACAATTTTTAAAATAAAAGAAAGATTTTATGTAATGAAAATTTGTATGAAGCCAGAAAAGTGGGTCGAAGATTTGTAATAATTAAGGAGGACCCGGTGGTATAAAATGACATGATAGCGGTGCGCAAGATTAGATTACGGTGCCATGTGTTGTATTGTGAAGAGATTAAAAGGATGACTAATTATGTCTTAAAAAATGAATTTGACGAATTGATGAAAAAGCAACTGCACATGTATCATCATAAACTAAACACAATTTTGTTATTTAATGAAGTTGTTTCCATAGCAAATTATATACACAAATTTATCTGCTTTACCATTAAAATATTTTTTAATCATCTTTTTATTTCAAGTGTCACGTCAAAAAAATATGTTACAGTATTTTTTTTAACAAATTATCTCAAATAAGATTATTGTGTTTGAATAGCAAATTATTTATACAAATTTATCTGCTCGTATCATAAATATGTATTTTAATTATCTTTTTATTTAAAATATCGTATCAACAAAAATATCACAGTGCATCTTTTTTAAAAAATTATCTCAAATAATCTCTCGTCCAAACACACTAGAGTCACAATTTTCATTTTGTGTCTTCTTTTCATATCTAATCTAGGGGGGCTATGGACACAAATCACTTTTCCAAAGTTTTTTTTCTTTTAGACTGCATATGACTCGAAATTGTGGAGGTGCTTACGTTCACTTGTACACGTCATACTAATGGATTTGACTAGGCGCCGAAACCACCATGAGAGGGATTGCATTTAGTATTTGGGTTTGGTTCGGTAAGGGGTGACTTCATGATGACTCGAAAGGTTGAATTGAATTTTAGTGGCTTGAGGATGGGGAAACAATAGTGGGGGCTGAAATTTGTGGATTTTGCCCATACCCCGTTGCGGAGTTGATTTTGCATAGTTATTAAACCCCGCCGCTCGGGGAGGAATTCGGTGGAGGAGACGGGTCAATGGATTACTAGTTTAATCGGCGGGTGAGTGATCCAATCGATGAATCACTATATATATTTAAATATTATATTTTATAATTTTTATGTCATAATAAATATTCAGTTATTTTAATTTATTATAGATTCATTAATTTTTATAAAAATTAACAACCTAAATTTAATTAGTAATCCACCAAATTTCAAGTATAAAATTTTATCTAAGTGTAATTATCTAGTTTATTTATGAATTTTAAATGCAAAAGTTTATTAAGAATAATATTTGCCATTAAAATGATTTGTGTAATATGTTATTTTTAAGTCAATTTCATAATTTATAGAGTTTAAGGAATAATAAAAATGTTATTAAAAGATTTTAAATAAATTTTGTTTTGGAGAAATAAAATAAGAATAAGACTTTAATATATAATATAAGAGCAAATTAACTAATAATGGTTGTCTTTTCTTTGCATGAGGTCACGCGTTCAAATCTCCGTTCCCGTAATGTTTGTAAAATTTTTACGTAGACCGGATTTTTCATAAAATCGACCGATTCAATCGAGTTAATCGGTTCAGTCGCCGATCTGTTGAAAAGTCAATGAATTCAATACAAAAACGATCTTGTTAAGAATCCCGCCTGATTTCATGACCGATTCACCGAGTTGACCGGTTGAACCGCCGGACCGAGCCAAGTTTAATAACTATGTGATTTGGTCTACAATTTTCAATTTTATATATATATATATATATATATATATATATATATAGTTAGAAGAAATATACTAAAATGTTTGAAAACGAAGCTCCGTTCTTGAAAGTCTTGCGGGGAAACTTCTTCATGATTTGCAATGTTATATTACAGCTTTCCAACCCTCGTCTTTTCCTGCGAGAGAGGGAAGAGAAAAGGGAGAGGGTGCCTTGGAGAGTGGAAAGAATTCTCAACAAGAAAATTCGAGGAAAAGAGACGCTCCATATTGAGTCGTTGACATTTGACAATGACAAAACTTCAAATGGAAAACTCCCAACATAAAGCACAATGCAAAAATCCATTGTTTGTATATCAATGTAGAAGTACAAAGTAGCAGTTAACAATGCACTATATAATGGTACAACGTACCTGCTTGTCCTTTTTAAGCTAAATTCCAGCGTAACTCTTGTCCTAAGCCTGACTAAAAATTCATGAGTGACCCTTAATGATGGCATCAATAAACAGATAAAAAAAAAAAGAAGAAGAGCTTTTTACACGAATGTGGAGCCACCCCTACTCCACCCCAGAATCATCTTGGATCTCCCATCAAAACTCCAGCAATACTGACCTTCCACACACAGTCGTCTCCCCCAGCCCTCAAACTCAACTGTGTAATATCTGGTGGTCTAACATTCTTCCTGTCCTATAAAACAATCTATGAGTATCTACTGACACGAGTAACTATATACTTCCCCTTCTCCAGATCATATATCGTCTTCAACTGTGGTTTTCCACACCTTGAAAAGTACCACACCGTGAATATCAACACCACCAGGACACCAAACAGGATTAACAAGGTGAAAGAGTCGCCAGCAATCACAGAGGCAACTGAGGGAGAATGCTCATAGTCCGTGGATGTTCTGCTCTGCAAGATGAAAGCACCCAATGCCCAATCAAGGGGAATGTTCTCCACTTGATTTGCATATACAATCCTGCTCAAGTGCAGCCAATCAATGACAAATGGCAAAAATTTGCACACCAATGGAGCAAAGCTTCTTTCTGTCTTCATTTCCTAATGCTACCTTTTCTTAAATTCCTTATTTGCATTCTTTTACTGGGGCAATCTGTTTCTGTTATAAAAGTGTGCATGAAGGAGAAGAAAGTGATTGTTGTTTTGATGGGCAAAATGCTTTTGGGTCAGACACTATCCCAAACATACTGAAGTTACAACTCTATTATATCACAAAAAAGCAGATGTGATGTGGTCGAAACATAGAACTGAGAAGCAATCACTTGGTCAACTTACCTTTCATCATCCAGAGCAATTCCGAGGCTATCGTGAAGTAGGGCAACAATATATGCCGAAGAAAAACAATACCGAAGTAAATCATCATCATCCAGTGAGTAGTACTTCATCTTCAATTTTGACCAATCATCCTCACAGAATCTTTCTCCAGCAACAACGAGATCAGAAAGAAATGCTTGTCGACCCAAACCAAAGAACTATTGAAAAAAAAAGTGAAAATGTTAACTTTTTCTTTTCTACTACATATAGCAAACAAGAAAAATGTTTACTTTTCTTCTCATCTGTGATGCAATGAAATGGTGATAAATCACTAAAGAAAAAGACAAATAAACATACAACCTTAGAAGTGTGGAAAAAATTTTCTGTGGCCAAAAACTTTCCTTGGAGCTTAGGGATAAATGTTGATCCTACATAACAGTTTATATAGGAGCATTTCTCTGCATTTTATAGAAAGAGGAACTTCATCAATTACTTGCTTCAAAAAATGTTGGAAGAGTTGTCCCCATATGCCAACCTTCTCAGAGAAAAAGAATGCGAACATACCTTTGTCTTTCTGCAGTAACATCAGAGAGGCAGACCTGCACTCTGAGAAGTTACCACCGGGCTGGAGAGCAGATAGATATCTACTCTTTTCAGCCAATGAACCAGGGGAGAGTTTCCCTGATCCAGTATCATGTGTATATCCTCTAGGAATACAAGGATCCATTAACTTTCCATTTTGAAGGGTATCTGCAGTTGCATTAAAAAAAGAAAAGAAAAGAAAAAATCTCCATAAGCCACCACATCCCATTTTCAACATTCACCTTAAAGTTAGATCAAGATGGATACAAAGCTTATCAAATTCTAGGGAAAGAGGACGAAAATCTTAATCTGTACAGAGGGCAGAAACACAGAATGGGACACAGAACGAGCAAGTTTACTAAGCTAAATCTTCACATTATCAAGTACACTCTAATATTTCCAGCAATCAATCATATACACAATGATGAAAGAACAATGCGACCTACCCAATTCTTCGCTTCTCATGATGAGAGATTCCCGCAATAACTCAAAAGCTACATTCTGCGAAAGGGCACAAAGAAATAAGTAGCTGATCTACAAACTAAAGGATTATTAATAAGCTTCCAACGATCAAATGTTTCTGCCATCTCCAGATGAGGAAAGATGGAAAAATGTGAAGCACAGTGTTCTAAGGTTCAGAACAAATGCCAGCGAGCCAACAAGTAAGACAAGATATATATATAAAAAAAATGGATTACCTGGCCATATTGGAGCAAACTGTGACTGTACAAGATATAAGTGAAATTGCCATATTTAACCTTTCTAGAGTACTCAGGGGGCAAAGGTTCGTCCGATACAAAGGTAACCTGAAATCACATACCAAGTCTGATTAATAATTACTTTTAAGGCCTTATAATTTCCTGTAGGGCACAAGAAATGCTGAAGCTAATCTAAAGTCTAACACAGAGACAATGATAAGTTCAGTGATAATATTTAGAATGAAAATAACAATATTTAGTTTGCACTTTCAGTTGGCATTACAAATGTATAAGAAGTCACCATTCATTACACTAAAAGCTTCACCTATGAGTAGAAGAAATACTCAACTAGCTAGAAAAAATTCAGACATGAGTTCCACATAAGTCAGTGAATATGAGCATGTCTTAACTATAGAAGAACCTAACAATTGAAAATAAATTCACAACCTGAGCTGAAGCACCTCCAAGTTCAATAATACCAGTTGTTTGCTTAGGATCGCCTCCTAGAGTGCCAAGGGCATAATTAGCAACGACCCAGGCATATACACCTTCATCAGAACCTAAACAATGGATCATCCAACTTTAGACTTTCAAAATATAACAAGAATCAAATGCTAACAAAACCAGTTTATAAGAATTAATATG